CCCCAAAACCCCAAAACCCCAAAACCCCAAAAATCCCCTCAAAATTGAATCCTCCAAAACCTCTTATCCAAACTCTTCACACTAATCACGGCCAAGGATCCACCAGGCTGAAAATATCTGTGCTTGATGCACAATTCTGGAAATCTCATTTTCTTCAGAGTAATTTGAATTCACGATACGTTCAAAATCTGTGTAGCTTATTGGTTTATGTTTAGCATTTTCTTCGGTGACATATCTGTGGGGTTAGAGAGGATCTTACTTGATGAATTTACGGAATTCTCTGCGTTTTTTGAAGTTGGCCAGAGATTTCAGTTTGAAATGGTTGGGGTTGAAGTAGGAAGCGAGTTTGATTGCTTTGTCTAATACTGGATGGAGCTTGAACTTTCCGGGATGGGCTTCGGATTTTAGGTCATGTGCTTTGGTTAGTTGGTATTCTTTGAGTTTGTCTAGGTATTTTTCTTGGAGTCCTTCTATTGTTGTTCTAATCTGTTCTTGTGTTTGTATGTAGTCGTCTTGTCTTTGAGCAGAATTAGAAAACTGACTTGTGCTATTAAACAAGTCTCCTTCACTGCATAGATTTTGATCAATCATTAGTTTTCTGATGTCATCATTGTAAGGCTTCACATACCAAACGTAAATATTTACAATATGATCACAAACATAGAGGTTATCAAGCAAGCCATCGGGGAGATCATATTTCTTCATTATCTTATATTTGTACTCTCACTTCAGAATATCTTCTCTTGGAATATAATTCTCAATGTCTCTGTAAAGTCTTCCAAGTACTCCAGGAGACTTAAACACCCTTTTACCTTTAGGACGAAACTTGCCAGCGTACATAAAATCTGAATTGAACTTAAAGCTCTTCTTAAGTTCCAAGAATCTCTCAGCATCAAGATGGGTATCTTTCTTCTGATTGTCGACTGCATGGGCATGCATCTTTGCAAGTTCCAGACAGATTTCTCCATTGATGCTATTTTCGATCACTATCAGCTATTTTGCAATGGAGGTTTGCTACTTGTCCAAGAATATCTTTCTTCAGAAAATTGATAAAGTTCTCAATTCAATGTAGCCTTCCAATCTCTGGTTTTTCTTCCTGTGAATAGTACTCAATTCCTTTGGAAATTCCTTTTGAAATTCCTTTGACAAGTAATTGCCCAAACAGATCTGTGAAATCTCTTGGTTGTTTCTTAAAGAAAGGCTCATCTTTCTTTTTCTCCTTCTCCTGTTTCTTTTCTTCTTCTTGCTTCTTATCTTCTACTTGCTTCTTATCTTCTTCTTGCACATCAGGCTCCTTCTCAATGTAATTGTCAACGAACTCTGACCTCCAGTTGATCCAGTAGATGTCTCCATCTAAATCTCCACACCCCATTTTGTTTTGATCTGGCCTCTTGCCTTTCACTGAGAACACGATCACGTTGACCAGCGCCAGTAGCATGTCATGCTTGACTGCTTTAAGCACACGGACGTCGCCAGGATGCACGCACGGAGAACGAGTGACCAGCACCTTACCTTCAACGATGGTATTGTCATAGGCTGCATGGTCATTTGGAAACTTGGCGTACTTGTTGAACTGCACAAAGACTTCACCTGCCTCAAGGACCCCATAAGGATCAGCAACTCCGATCAGGTTTCAACTGGATTCATCGTAAATTCGGAATTTCTTCTTAATGCCTTTGAACTTACTCAAAGATATTGCCTTAATCATTGGAGCAATAAATGGATCCAAGTGATAGGGTATATCTTTAGCATGCATCGAATAGAGCCGAGTTGTGATAATACGAAATGATTGCAAAATAATCTCAGGATACGAATAAAAACTTCCAAACTTATTTAAGTTTGAAATAATCTATCAGATTTCCAACGAAGTTTCTTTGTAAACCTAAGAATGTATCGATTTCAATGCCATTTGCCCAGAGGACCAAAAGAACTTGTTTGTTGAGGTATCCTGGCATATAGGTAGCCAGCCTGACAACTTCTAGATCAACACTTTTGATTGATGGATCTAGATCAAATTTCCTCATGCTCCTTCTTGTTTTTACTTGGACATCTAAACTTATGTTATAATTCTAAGCAATGAAAATTTAATAGCAGTATTTAGGAATTATGCAACATTTAGAATATTAGAAAAGCTAAAAGAAAAGATTGATAAGTAAATATTCTAATTTTCTCGGTATCAATCAAACCCGCTTGAAAATGATCTGTGTTCATATTATCAATCATTTAAAACATTTTTAGGCTAAATTTTGGAATATCTTACCATCACCATCAAATAATTGTGACGCCATGAGCATGCCCTTGTACCCTCCCATTCTAATCTGGACTGCTGATCACATGGCTCCATTAAAGTAGCTTTCTCATATCTGATTCAAAAGCAGAGGGTCGATTTCTCCACATCCGTCAGTGAACTCAAACCCGTTTCTCTTGATGTCGTCTTCTTCAAGGATATTTTTATTAAGATCTAGACTCACAGTCGTGACTGCACTACTAAATGCTTGGCCTCTTCTAGCTGCATTCTTTGAAACTGAAGACACATGATCAAAGTTGCCCAGGACTTTGATGACCTTATCATACACTAAGTGGGGAGAAACCTCATTCATAAACCAGCAGGAGTAACTTTTCATTTGTGAGTTTGAGTAATGTAAGAACTTAAATCTTTTACTGCCGATGAGAAATCCTTCCTTTAAAGTATGCTCGATGTGATTCAAGACATCATTAGTTTCATCGGATTTGTATGCATACATTCCTTTCTGATGATCTTCATTTTGGAAAGAAACACAAACAAAATCATCAAGATTATTTTAAGTGAGTCCTGATAGCCCTATTCGGAACAGATTGAGATGGAAACTCAAGCTCCATTCTAGAAGGAGTTACTATGATCCTTCTGACCTCAATAGCTTTCTTGCTCTTCTCATTTTGATTGGTTGGGTAGAAGTATTCTCCTGATAAGAGATCAAAGTTGTACTCAATGTTTTCAAAAAGAGTCTTGAAGTTCCTCCTGCTTTCGTAAGTGATGTTTCTTATAGAGCAATCCATCGCTTTTTGCATTGGCTCCATTTGATCTGCTCCTAAGTAATGAAGAATCTGCTTTATCGTATCAATATACTCTTCTAGAGGGTAATCTAAGATATGAACTTTCTTGGTACTAAATAAGCACATAAAAGAGTAGAGAACTTTGAATGGAAGGCCTTCCAAGTATTCAGAAATAATATCAATTCCATGTGTTAGTTTCTCTCCAATCATTTCATCCATAAAATCTGGGATCCTTACGAATGGAATGCCTTTATCTTTGTAAGCGATCCCAAACTCTTTCTTCAGCAAATCAGTAGCTGCGAATTCTCTTGAAAGTTGCTGATACAGTGCTCGGTTAACATTCGGGTCCATTCCATAACTTTTCTTAGCCAAAGTTCCTGTAATCCTCACAGTGAGCTGAGAGGTGATACAGTTGATGAACATGCTGTCCGACCAGAGTTCACTCTTCTGTCTGAGCAGCTTGAACTCCTTCTTGCCATTCTGCTCTCCAGTAATCTGCTGGACTATCTCCATCCGGAAACTGACAGGCAAATACTTGAGTTTGATGTAAATGTTTGTCAGCTCATCTTTTTCATACACTAAGCACATTAGTCAACGAATTACTTATAGAAATTTCTTTAATAGAGTTCTCATCGAAGTGGTAGAAATCCCTAGAGGTTAAGCAGTTCCTTACTGATAAGATGTGGAAAAGGTAACTTGATCAACACTCTGATAATTCTTGCCGTTCTTAAGACCTCCCATTACCCTAAGTCCCCTGAAAAACTTTGGCTGTTTATTTCTATCAACTCCATATCTTGCAGTGAATGTAGTTGTCTTATCCACAATCGAAAGGGGCTTATAGGGTACAAAGATCTTTGCTTCAACAGAAGAGGAGAGTTTGTTAGTGGGGAAAATATCTCTCCGTTCAAAGCCGAAGTTGACATCCTTGATGTTGTACATCAGAATTCTTTCGCCGAACCCCCTGTCGTAAAAACTATTCTCCATTTTATTATACAATGATTTTGATCCCTTATGGGGTTTTGGGGTTTTGGGGTTTTGGGGTTTTGGGG